GTTTTCGAACTGTTGGGTTGACAGGAACTGGGGAGGAAACAGGAGCTCATCCTGCTAACCCGAAGGCTGGACTCGAACCACTGAAGCGTTGACCATTAAAGGCTACCTTCAGTATTCATGCTGTGACAACAGATACAGTACTTTTATTGAAAATAAAATAAAGATAACATCAATAGCATCTTTCTCCATCCTAATACTGTGCAGACTTTAACTGATTGTTATAAATTTAACATTTAACTGAATGTTATAAATCCAACACATCTGGAGAGCTTGAGGTTGCAAAATCCTGCCATAAAGTTTAGGAAAATAAGCGGAGGTTTAGGAATTCACTATCCATTTATTTGCATCACTAGGAACTAGTCAATTAGTTTTAGGCAAGCTGCTGTCTGCCCCCACAAGATCCAAGTAAGTATTCATAGTATAACATACCCACTATAATCCTTTTTAAAATAAAGATTCTGGTTTTAAATTAATTTAAGATGATTTTGTAAGTACATGTACATGAAATAAGTTATAGTGGAAACTGATATTTCTTTTCCAGTGATACCTGTGGTCTATGGAAATCTGTTGGGGAGACTCACCAGCCCTTAGTCACCCTAGCTGGAAATTGTGAGAACTGTTATGCAACACATCTGGTGGGTGCCAGCTTAAAGGACACTGCTGTATGTCTGTTTTGACTGATAAGGAGGTAGAAAGGTATATTTAAGTAAATAAATAAATAACTGCATAGGTGCACTTGCACATTCTTCTGCATGATTATGGATTATGGCAGCCTATAGCCTAAGTGTTCAATCCATATACTTATCTTGTTAAGATTAATGAAGAATAGTTTTAAATGCAATGACACAAAGCTAAGCCAATTCCCATCTACATTTCATATATAAAATATGCTTCCCACAAAGCTATACTGCATCACAGCTTACAGTTGGCTTGAGTAGCTAACAAACATTTTCCCAGTGTTAACAATCTGCCTCAGTAATTAACCTAATGCTCTGAACTCATTATTTCTCTATAAATTCCATCGATTTAGATTAACATATTCTATTTCCAAATAATATGATAGATTTGAGTAAGCAGACTTTGTTGGAGATACACAAACATGCATGCACATTTAAAAAAACAACTAGCTAATCTTCCTTATATGTAAAAGATGTCATCTGATAAATAGAGCTTTTTATTTTCAAAATAATATCTAATTTCAGCTATTTCAGTTCATATACATTAAGGAAACATAGCAGCCAGCTTCTGTGAAGCACTAAAATCAAAGCACAGAAGATGAGGTGGAGGCCAGTGGTTTTACAGCACCAGGGCAATTGAAGTAGTCTTCCCATGGCTGAGAGAAATCAGCAAGTTCAGAATTTTAAAAGCATTGGGATGATCTTCCTAGACTCAGTGACTCTCCCATCTAGAAATGTCTGATGTTCCCTACTCTGGTGAACAGGACAGGATGCAAATAAAGTAAGTTTGGGTTCAAACTTTGGCAAATAACTGAGCTGCCCAATTTTGTATGAGTATTTTGCTAATTAACTATGAATAAATAAATAAAAATCCTTAGGCACCTAAGTTAACTCAAAATGCTGCTGAAAATAAAATATGCCAGCATTTACTGATTGAATTCAATCCAGTTAGCCCTTTTCATAAACTATTAGGCATGTGTGGTCTTCCCACATGTATAACTGCAAATCAACGGAATGCTAAGGGTGGGAGATGGGTAATAGAATGAAAATATGGTTGCTAAAGTTTGCAAACAGAATGGGATGTGAGGGAATGCAAATTGTACTTTGCATTTTATGATAGTTTGATACTATTTAGAGGATCCTATATGATTCTGTAAAGTTTTGATTTGAGAATAAAACTTGTAATTCCATTTAACTATTTGACTACAACTTAGGCAAATAGGATCAACTCATCTGTCCTCAAACCAACAGCAACGTAATTCTTACTATGGTCATTTAAAAAAAAATCCACACGCATACTTTTTGAGAATAAAATGCTGGATACAATATAATTTTGTAATCAGTTAATATTGATGCATAATTCAATGCAGCTGTGAATTTGGAGCCTTAGTGTTTCACCAGCCAAGTTTATTATATGTGACAAAATCTGAAATTAACATGTATTTTGTTGCTTTCTGGAATCTCTATCAGTGCTATATTATCACTGCTATTCTGAACAGAAATGATAAAAATATTTTGCTTCTATGCAGTTACAGAGAGAAAATAACTTTGCATTATGCAAGTCCTATATAGAAAAATACTTAAAACTGAAGACAGCCATCATATCATGGGCAAGTCAGAAAACAAGTAATACTAACTTGATCAGGAAGATAAGCAATAGGATCAGATCTAGGACAGAGACAAAACTAGACTGCTTCTGGCCTCGATTTACAACTTGCAAATTTCAAAGAAGGATAGAAGATGACATCTCCTAGGGAGCTGTCACTTACTTCAAGGCTGAAGAATGATTTTTCTAGATTCTGCAGAAAATACATGCTTAGAGTAGCCCCATCATACCCCACATCATTGGAGTTAGAAACTGCAGATTCAGCCCCTTTAAAAGCCTTAAAACACCCTTTAAGAACAACCAGTTCTTTGGAAGAGCAGGGCCAGAGATCAAGATCAGACCAGAGAAGTCAGTTTTGAGAAAGCAACAGCTGTAGGAAAAACAGAATTTTGATGTGAAATTATCTTACTGGTTAGTGTACTGCAGTCTGCTTCTCTTGGACCTAGAGTGAAATGGAACAGAGCAGAGCAGAATAGGACAACTAGGAATCAGCCCATATATTATTTTTAAGATTGACTTTCACAGTGACTTGGCTATCATATTTGACATGATCAAACTTTGGTTTTAAAATTTACCATATGTGAAATAATTGAAAAGTTTGTCTTACTAGAGATAAGGCTAGAATGAATACTACAGGGCATTCATGCAGAAAATACTGTGAAACCTTTGATACTCAATATCAGAGTTAGCCAGTGAGGTGGTTTATTAAGCAAACTGCCAGCAGCAGCATGAAAACAGAGAAGAGTTTATAACCCTTTTATGTGTAGAGAAAGGGGCTAGTGCAGATAGCATTGCAGACACAATGCCAGATTTGAATAGATCTCAAGCACAGTTGCTGATGGGCATCCTCTGAGCTAATGAGCTCCCTCCCCACTACTTTCCTCTATATAATATCATCATCAATGTCTGCTCTAGCTGCCATTCATCCTTATCTCTAATTGGCCTTTCTTAGAGGGGATACCATAATAGAACAGGAATAAATCTGGGCAGCTCGCTCATTTTATCTCTCACTATACAATGTCTGGCATTCAGTAAATACTTCAGAGGAGAAAACATGATGTGGCTACAGCATTCCAAAGCCCAGTTTCCATGTTCCCAAAGGCTCAAGTCCTGCTGAGCCCCAGTTAGAAAAATGAAGGAAGGCTCGCATAGGCTGGAGTATAGCAAGGGATGGCACCAGACTCTAATGTTGTACAGGAGTATTACTGCTTTGCTGAGTTCATGCCAGGTATTTAACAATTATTCAGATGAAATGTATAGAATCACTAAGGCTATTTTGCAATAGTTCCCTTCTTTTCTAAAAGAAATGAGATTAGATTGAACCCCAGTCTGAAATCTACAATAAGTCTACTAGTGTGGGATCAGGCTGCTGAAATTAGTTTTGATGACCATCCACAAATGCTTACGCATGTTCAACATTTCCTACTTCTTTAAATGAGGAACTGTCCTGAGCCAATATTATGAAATGGAACATTTGCTTTATGTACACGAAGAACATAGCAGAAGCAAATACAATTTTGTATCGAACACCAACATTATTAATCCTACATCACATACTTGCAGCAATTGTTTCAACTTCCATAACAGCCCCTCCCATTTTAGACTGTTTCTTCTAGCTCAAAATATTACAGCTGTTTATTACTTTCAAAATATGCCCAAATTATTTCATACTAACTGAGAGATGTTGCCTTTGGAAAGAAAGGGAGATTTTCCATAACCAATTTATTTTATTCAAGTATCCACATTCTCATTGACTGTGTACTGATACAGCTATTCAGAAAAATCAAGGAAGAATTTAAGTATTAATATAATCACATATTTGTTCAGTCTTATTTTGCAAATCCATTATGAAATGCAGGAATTTCATATATATAGCTGGCGTATAACATGCTTATCTTTATGGACATAATCATGGACTACCCTCCAAGGATTTTGTAATAGCCTCACACATTTTATATACCTTAATTTGCCCTTGGTCAGTATCAAAATAATGGGGGAAAATATTGAGTTTAATGCTGGAACACTTGAAACAAGTCTCATTCCTCAGCTGGGGGCAAAATGAAGGCAATGACATAGCATTATTGCAAACACCCCCAAAATGTTGTCAGTGCATATTTGTACCATGGTTAAGTAAAGTGGGAAAAGGCCCTCTGAACAGTGCTTAATCTCCATGTTAAAAAATGTGCTGCTACTTTGGTTTTTTTAAAAAAACCCGATATGAATTCCTGCACAAAGATTCACTAGAACAGGAACAGGCAGTGTGTGACTTTCCAGCTCCCATGAGCTCTAGCCAATGTGGTGATATAATGTGGACATGCATTTATGTTTATTAATTTGTTAGATTTATATCTTCCCTTTTCTTTAGGAGCTCAAGGCACTATATACAGCAGTCCCTCTTCTATTTTGCCCCCACAAAGTTTTATCAGGTAAATTGATCTGCAAATAGTGACTAGTCCAAAGTCACCCACTGAGCTTCTATGGCTGAGGAATGACTTGATCCTAAATCCCCCCAGTTTAATTTTACAGCAATCTGATTACAATCCAATAACCTCTGGAGGGTTACAGGTTACCCCCCATTGAACTAGACTGATTATATGCCATTGAGTTGATGTCAGCTCATTTAGATTTTCTCCAGGAAGGTCTGTCTCCAATCTGGTTCTTCAGGTTTTCCAATGGTGTACCAATCATCACTGTAATTGAATCCACCCACCTTGTTGGTGGTTGTCCTCTGTTTTGCTTCTGTTCTATCTTTTCCAGTATTATAGACTTTTCTAAAAACCTAGGTCTTTGCATAATATGTCTGAAGTAGGATAATTTGAGCCTGGTCATTTGTGCCTCAAATGGATTGATATGTTTAATTATTCCTTTGTTTGTATTCAGGAGTATTCTCCAGCACCAAAATTCAAAAGTATCAATGCTCTTCCTATCCTGCTTCTTCAAAATCCAACTTTCACTTCCATGGAGTATTACAAGGAAAACCATTGCCTGCACATTCTGATCTTTGTAGGCATAGACACATCACAGCACTGGAAAATCTTTTCCAAGGCCTTCTTGGCTGCTCTACCAAGTGCTTGACTGCAGGGTGTTTCTTGACTGCTTGTCCTTTACTGTTGATGACTGATTCATTGAAGTAGAGTAATTCATTAATGAGGAAATACTCTCTGCACCAAGTTTGAGAGTCCTTCATTTGTTCTTACATAACTATCCTCCAAGGACAGGCCCTAACATTCAAAATAAATGCTATGGCTGAATCTCAAGAAGTCTTGGCATCAAATATTTATTTATTTATTCATTGCATTTGTAGGTTGGTTGCCCACTCAAAAGGCCTCTGGGTGGCATGCAAATGAAAACCATAAGAAGTCAAATAATAATAAAAAATATATAAAAAAGAAAAGATGGCTGAACAGGGAGATGACAAACACTATGACAACAAAACCAGCACACGAGTTCACACCTTACCTTAACCCAGTGCCTGGGAAGGAGCCAGGTCTTTAAGGTTCATCTAAAAGAGAGCAGGGTCAGGGCTGTTGGAATCTCTTGGGGGGATGCTGTTCCAGGAGGCAGGTGCTATAATAGAGAATATGCATCATTTGGCATCAAATCAAACCATTTTAGCTCTTTGCAGATATTCAGCCTATACACATGAAGGTTAAAAGTGTCTTGGGGGAAGGTACTTACATAAGTCCAGTAAGATCTGACAGGGATGGCATATTCCAGGTCCATTGCTTAAATAATACCATCTAATGGGGCCCAGGAAGTATGCCTTCTCTGTTGCTGCCTAAGGCATAATATTTTCTCCAAGGTCCCTATCCTGCTGGCCTTTAGGAAAGCCCTTAAGTTCTGGCTCTTCCTGCAGGCTTTGAACTTAGGAGAGCATGTGGTTCCATTAATCCTCAACAGTGGTGTTGTATATCTCTTTCTGCCCTTTTACCAGCACAGCTGTCTTTCTCAGATTTATCTCAAAATATCAGGACTTCAAGAAAGGACTTTCTGTATGCGGAGCAGATATTCTACCACTGAGGTAAGGACTTACTGAAGTAATGTATTGTGCCAGTGTATTGTCATTGGACATATATCAGATATAATTACTCCAGTGTACTAGGTCAGAATTAATCCTGAGCTATTTCCTCCTCCCTTTCCTTTCTTCACTTGCATGCCAAACACTGACACTTTAAACAACAGTTTACTAACCAGAATCAGGTTAAAGTCCTGGTTAGTAGACTAACTTTAAGCCAGATCTCTGTTTTGAAAATAAAGAAAAAGTTTGATGTAGAGAAGCAGAAGTAAAACATTACATTTTAGCAGGTCAGGAGAAAAATGATAAAGAACTTTATGGGCTTAATATGATTTATTTTAGCAAACTGTAATTCTTTAATTAATAGTTAATAATTAAATTAATTTCATCCAATATCTTCTGTATTTAATGAATATAGCATGTAAAGAAGGATTACTGTATCTTACTCTTGAGAAATTTTGGAAGACATTGGAAGGTAAAACTGCCAGAAAAAAAAAATTTAATGTAAAGAATTCCCCATGACTTAGACAGCATTTCTTGATACTATGGAGGTAAACAATAAAGACCTGGCTGCATTGGTTGCAAACCTAAACTATGGTCTACATTTCTGCTTAGTATTTAGTTGATGTAACACAATTTTTGCCCCAACTCAAGATGTAACTCACATTTTTCTTATTCCATCTGACCAGGCTTGCTGTCTAGAAAGCACTAACTATGACCTTATCAGGGGTCTGGTTTTGCCTTTGTATGCAAAGTCCAATCCCAGTTAGACATGCTCCAGGTTTTCCTTCTTGCTCTACCTGAATGAATGTGAGTTTTGGCTAAGTTGCAATGTGTGCAAAAATTTAACAATTACTTCTCACAAATCAGATTGAACCAGATGGATAACTCTCCAGAATTCAGCATGGTATTCAGAACATGAACTCAAGGAAATGCAAACGCATAACACTGAGAGTGCAAAAAGAAAAAAAGGGAAGTGTTTGGAAAGTCATTTTTAATATAAAATATAAATAGCACTATAATTGCAGACTCCAAATGCTGCCATGTTCTCTCTTTAGTCCGTTAATTGTGAACATGCCAATTTGTGTAGAAAGAAGGTTTAAAATGTTAAAATTAATTGTGCAGTTGTTCACAGCCCTATGTTAGAAATAGCTTTTACCTACCCCACCCCTCAACCTCCCACAATTTTTGGATCTTAAATTCCTTTCCTACAACAGAGGTCCTAGCAACCTTCTGCTGTTAGTACTTTACGAGTAATTTATATATTACATTGGTTCAGACTCTGAGAGCACACACTATATTAGTGCATGTCTGAAGTACTCTTTCCTCAGTAATACACAAGTTCTATAATCATCCAAAATAATGTTTTGAAAGACACTCTGAGGAAAAATAGTACCAATAGAATGGGATGAGCACTGCCTGATATGCCTCATGATGTTACATAAGTTTCAGATGCCTCAGATGTTACAGTAATAGGGTAAAATGCTTGTGTAAACTGGTCCCAGGTGTTATGGTGTAGTGCTGCCATAACTGTCTTATCACCGAAGTTAAATGGTTATATGGATAATTTATTAAGAGTAGGCAATATATATGATGTCACATACCTGCGCTTTCTTAAAAATTCATATACCAACTAGCATTTGGGCTACCAGCTCTGGCTGCAAAAATTCTGAAGATAGCTAGCTGGCAGCAAAGAGGTAGGGGTTTCTGTATCTCTTTGCTGTCATCTGGTGTCAAGGTCCATGTAGCTGGACCAGAGAAGAACTATACAAATTTCAGTATCTTTAATGCTAGCCTGGTGAAAATGAAGAATCTTGGAAAATATAATAGGAATTTCTCAGCTTCATTTATAGTGAATTATGTAAAGTGGAAATCTCTTTGAATATTTAGCAATGCTTTTTCCCAAATTTACGTCCACCTGACTGACTCACACATTGCTATCTCTTCTGTTCCTTTCTCAGCCTTCCCACAATATCTCACATCTGGTTGTTGTCCAGATTTTGCAGGTAGCCCTAACTGGGATAATTAAAATGTGGAAATTAATATGGGAAAATTATAGCACATTAGTACTTTACGAGTAATTTATATACTATACATTGTTTCAGTATTTCTTATCCTGAAATGTATTTGACAATCTGAGGGTGTTGAAGTTAAGGCTGAAAATGAATTAATGACTATGTGATCTATTAGATTAATTAAAATCTATGTGATTTTTGATAAGCTTACAATTTTTACACTGCACTGTGTTCCACTTGGAAATAACTCTGTTGGGATTCCCTTTGAACAAAATGAGGATTCATATTTTTGAAGTGATTTGTACAGGATTGCTATTAATCACTACTATTTTAAAAATATATACCCCTTAGGTGAATTTCATGCTGCCTTAAACTTGATTTTTGAACTTAAAGAGAGAATGATGCATTCTTTTCAATTCTGAACTGTTTTTACAACAGAAATATTTTTTATTAAATTAATCTGAAAAATATTACTAACTATATAAGTAATGGTCATTTAGAAGCTACACAGAAAAACGGTGAGAAACATCTATTTCTACTTTTAAAGTTATGTTATAAACATAATGCTGTGTCTATTTCACCATATTAATTTGTATCAGATTTTTTTTTCATGTAACTACTGCATAGTCATTTGCATAGAATCTTTACATAAAAGGGAACATTAATAAGGAAGGCATTGTTTTTTTAATTTTAATGACATTAAATTCTGATAACTGTGAAGAGTTTTAAAATACTCCAAGCCCCTTAGTTTGAAAGATGAGCTATAATTTTCCCAAGAGTGCACTTTCTATATTTAACTCCTTCTCTTTCTGTTTTTCCATATACTCTGCCAAGTCATTTCCCTATTGTATTCTTTCTAATGAGGGATAAATTAGTCTAGTAGTCAGTGAAGTTGAAATCAAGAGAATTCTTCAAAAATAGCTCCTAACAAACATTAGCTAAAAGCAACCATGCTTACTGAAATTGTGTTCTGATCATGCCCAGTTCCATAGCTAGTATTTCTGGCATCTTCTTATATTGAACATGAAGGAATAAAGTCAGCAGCTCCTTCCTAACTATTCACTCTTACTTATGTCAATATTGGAACTGAAGAATCAACAACTTATTCAAGTGTCTTAGCCTTAAAATACTGGCTTTGTGAAATTGCTATTATAGTTCTAGGAAGAGTTTGACAGGAAAAATAATATTTTTCCCTCCCCCCTCCCTCCCCCCTCCCCTCCCCTCCCCCCCCCCCCCCCCCCTCCCCCCCTTCCCTTTCTCCCTCCCTTTCAATTTTTTTTTTTTTATTTTTTTTTTACTTATTTTTTTTCTTCTTTCTCTTAACAA